AGAAACAAATGACATGATCTGAAGGAGAGGTGGTGACTAAGGAAACATAAAGACCGCCAACATGCTTCTAGTTTAAAAAATGGCAATGGAAAGATGTCCCCCAGATGAACTAAGTGTGTGGAGCGGATTGTATGGGAAAAGGCGATTCTGTAGGTAATCTAGACCCAAATCATATAGTGCTTTAAAAGTCAAAAACAACAGCTTATGCTTTGCCCTGAAACTAATTGTCAGCCAGTGGAATGACTTTAGGATAGGTGTAATATGCTCACCTATGGATGTTCCTGTATCCAACCTGACTGCCATATTTTGAAACCAGCTGGAGTTTCGGAGCTTGACACATCGCAGAAGTCCAGTGTTGAGGTTATCAGTGTGTACACTACCATCTTTAGGTCCTCTGAATATAGGAAGGGGCACCTCTGGCATATCAGCCGAAGCTGGTAGTAAGCACTCCTAACCATCACATCTGCCTGGGCTGACATTTGGAGAAACTGTTCCAGGAGCATTCCCAAGCTGTGAACACAGTCTTTCAGTGGGAGTGTAACACCATCCAGAACTGGTTGACATACCTCCATCCCCAGATTCATAGCCAGCCCTGAAACCAGGTTAAAATGGATCCAAATAATCAGTTTCATGCAAGAAGCTTTGGTGTTGAGAGGCCACCACCTTCTCTAGAACCTTGCCCAGGAATATTTCTTTTCTCTGACATAAGAACACATTCAATAAAGCTGAAGGCAAGTTCTTATAATGAGGGTAGACAAGGCTATCACTATGGGGACAGGGCAAAGTGAGGATGTTAACAACAACAACAACAACAACAACAACAACAACAACAACAACAACAAACTTTATTTGTATCCTGTCACCATCTCCCCAAAGGGACTGGGGAAGGCTCACAAAAAGCACTCAATATTGCAACAATATACAAAATACAGCAAGGTACATAGAAATAAAACAAATAGCAGTCCAAATTCTGTTCCCTTGTGAAATTTTTCATTAGTTCCTATGTTTCATGGCAATATTTTAAACCCTCACCTGAGTGCTCAGAAAGATAGTGTAAACAGCTAAAGGAAAATTATAAGTAAAGTTATTAAGACAACGTGAAGACAATATATGAAACATAGAATCATAGAGTTGGAAGAGCCCACAATGGCTATCTAGTCCACTGCTTCGTAAATTATGGGTCCCGACTCCAAATAGTTTTCCTAAGATCAATGTTGGGGTCATGAAAAATTTGGCAACAGTAAAAGGTCTCTGAATGTCACCCATTTATACAAATCCGTTAGGAACCATGTGAAGTGATTACATTGGATCATATGGAAAATACTCCAGCTGTATTCCACAAAAAGGAAAATCAGCCCATTAGGACCTCATCACATTAGAGCATGGATCCAGTTTAAATCCAGTTTCTGCCTCCTGGGACTGGGAATTCTGGGTCTTGCAGTTTAGTGAGGGGCCTTTAAACCGCTCAGTCAGGCAGGTCCTAGGCCTCACTAAACTACAAACCCCAGAATTCTGCAGGAGGCAGAAACTGGATTGAAAGTGGATCCATGCTCTAGTGTACTGAGGCTGTTAAGGAAGCCTTAGAAATGTTGATTTATTTTTATTAAATGTTTGAGATTGTGTGTGGGAAACGTTTAAGGAGCCCAGATCTAGTACTACCTCTACTATGCAAGAATACACAGTCAAAGCATTTCCAACAGATTTGGTGTGAATGACGTTTGATATCTCACTCACTCCATTGTAAAAAAAACCCACCTTGGAGGTCATTCACACTACACAGTTTTAGTGCTATTATTCAGCTTTTGACTGCCATCACAACATGATCTGGAATGCTGGAATTGGCAGGTTAGGGAGGACATTTAGGATTCTCAGCCAGAGAGCTCTAAGGCCGCCCCAAAGAACAAATGCACAATTCCTTTGGATGGAACTATGATAGTAGAAGCAGAATAACAGCACTAAAACTGGTGAAGAGTGAATGAACTCTATGTTCCACTTATACTTGGACATAGGCACACAAGAGATATACACAATCAGCATTTGTTCATAATTTTTTCTTCTAGGATTTTGAACACAGGGAAACTATGCCCCCCTCAGTCATTAACCACCGTTCTCTAATATCTTCAGCAATAAGACACACACAGTTCCCTCCTCCTTGATATAATTGAGGCTAAAAAAAAAAATAGGTCACTGACTGAAATGACCAACAAGTTTTCAAGTCCCGTATACGTCATTCAATAGTTGGAATCACTCCCTATCTTGTCACACTATCAAACAAGATTAATAGAACAGCTCTTTGGCCAGGTTACTCTTATGTTACCCACGTCAGATTTGGGTGCACTGAATTGACAATACCCATGAACTCTGCCCTCTTTTTAAAAGGTGCAAACATGTTGTGACCTTATGGCCACAACTCTCACCTAGGTAATATACACAATGTATTTGTAACAGTGGCCTTATTGCATTGTTTTGTCTTGTAAGGACACTAAAGATCTGATGATCAACAGGCAAAACCATGTGTGAAACAAAATCAAATTCCATTTTATGGCCACTAAAATTTCAGAAAATAAATGGTGGCCAATGAATGCTTCTTTTGGAAATCATGATATAAGTTGCATCTTAGAAATTACACCTTTTTCCTCAAAACTAGTCAAATATTATGTGACATTATAATAGTCTCATTTAGGAGCAAGATCGGACATAAACAACAATCCAACAAGTCTGGGAAAATATTGGCCTTCCATATGCTAAGAGTTTCAACATATAGAAGCCTCAGCCAGCATACTTGGGATAAAGAATTGTGGGCATTCTAATACAATGGGAGAGCTGAAGGTTCAGCAAACCAGTTGTGGAGAATGTTTCAGGCATTTACAAGAGATTCTGAGAATGATGGTGTCTCAAACATACATCGCTTAAGGTAGATATTTAGTTTGCATAATCAGTTCTCTACTTTACACAAAAATAGCAGACACATATCTTCTGCTATACGTACCTACAGTGTTCCAGGACTAATCTTCACAGTAGGAAAGGTTGGACAACGGCCTCTGGTGGCAGATGCTGGGGGCAAAGAGTGGAATGGCAGAGTTCTGTTTGTCACACACTCTGTATTGTATTCCCTAAGATAATTCATTGTCATTCGATTTGTAACATTGGCAGTGTTGAAGTCAGGTTCAGTTCCCAGTCTAGTCAATTCATGAACATGGTTGGCTGATCCTTTTCCTAGGACAGGGAGGTGTTTGGGGTTGACCTTCTACTATGGTCATTAAGCTATATATTGTATCTTTTAACAGCACATATATGCCAAGAAAGGTAATTTAGAAAGACTTTAGGCCAGTGGTGTCCAACCTTGGTTCTCCAGGTGTTTTGGACCTCAGCTCCCAGAATTCCAGAGCATTGGATAAATTGGTCAGGGCTTCTGGGAGTTGGAATCCTAAACAGCTGGAAGACCAAAGATTAGACACCACTACTCTAAGCTAACAATTACAGACTAATGTAGACTAATATATAACACATAAATGGCAGTAGTAAAATTAATATAATGAAACAAACATTCAGTTTCAACCTGTTTTTATTGAGATACCTGATTCTATTGACTTAATGAAACATTGGCTGCACCTACTACATTCAAATGCCCCTGATAGCCTTTCTAATATTTGATTTAAAAAATTGAACCATGCACTAGAAGTTCTCAGCAAATGCAAACATGAAAGCTGCGTTGGTGACAAAAGCCTCTTTCCCACAAAATGTGTGTGTGTGTGCAGTTTATCCACAAACAAAAATGGCATTCTATACTCAGCATTTTTTACATACCAAGCTTCTAGAAAATGCTCCCAGGCAAATTACTTTGTCACAGTTTAGGACTCCTTTGGCAGAATTCTTATAATATATTGTGTGATATCTCTGTTGAATACTTCTTCAAAATGTTCCCTCCCTACAGTTATACCTGGATCTCTGAAATATTTTTCCAGGGTCATGACATGTTCAGGGAATTTGTGTGTGGCTTGTGAAAGAGCTCTGTTTCTCCCAAGATAACTGAGAGCTCGGAGTTGATGTGTGGTCTACAAAATATAGACTTGAAACACCAGACTTGGCCATGGTAGTCCATACCTTAGTCACAACCTGTTTGGACTACTGTAATGCTCTTTAGGTGGGGGTGCCTTTGAAGATAGTTCAGAAGCTTCAACTGGTCCAGAGACTGGCAGCCAGATTACTAACTGGAGCACCGTTCAGGGAGAGAACCACTCTCATGCTGTGTAAGCTCCACTGGCTGCCGGTCTGCTTCCAGGCTAAATACAAAGTGCTGGTTATTACATTTAAAGCCCAAAATGGCTCAGGTCCAGACTATTTGACAAACCACATCTCCCACTATAGACCAACTCGTACACTACGGTCATCAAAGGAGGCACTGCTCTTGGTCCCACCCCCATTCCAAGTGCAGCTGGTGGGAATGAGAGAAAGGGCCTTCTCTGTGGCCACCCCCACCTCTGGAACTCCTTCCTAAGGAGTTAAAGATGCACCCTTCCCTCCCCACCTTCAAGAAACAGCTGAAGAAGTCCCTTTGGTCACTGGGAGAGTTGGTAATGCAACCACTATACCTCTGATTAATAGCTACCATCTGTATCCATGCCCTGTTTGCTCCATCAGCTCAATAGATATCTTGAGCAATGTTCAATCTATTTTTCCCAAGGAAGTGGGAAATTGATGCTTCTGTTCAATATTTTGTCTTATATCTGATATAACAGGTAGTGTTTTTATTTAATTTTAGTTGTTAAGTCATAATTTGTTTTTATATGTTGGGTTGCCAAATTTTGTTTCTATTGGTGTATTGTTGTGTTCAGGCACTGATTGTTTGCCTTTTATGTTTGGAATCTGCTTTGAGTCTCTCTGGGGAGATAGGAAGGAATATAAATAAAGTTTTATTATTATTGAAGTACAAACAGATAAGGGTGGTGTAGTGGGCGGCTGGAACAGAAAACTGTGGAACAAAAGCCCAGAGAGTGAAATGTATTTATAAATTATATTTATTATATATCTGTGTACAGCAAATATATTAAAAGATATCTCCATTGAAAAAGTCAGCACTGATATCTTCAAAGCAAAGAACAATTCAGAGGAAAAGTTCAAATATTTAAAATAGTATATCCTGTACACTAAAATAATCTTTTTAAAAAAACAACAACCTTTTCTCTTTCTTTAAATAACATTTGTGATGCACAGCAGATCTTTTGCAAATCCTCAACAGACAATTATAAAGTATAGATCTCTAGTTCTATATAAATTTGCATTCAGTAGTTTTGTGCACCCATTAAATACAAAGAACAGAAAAACTTCCCAGCTATAGATTGTGTTCAACTTCAACTATCCCTTGTGATGGCCATAAACAAAGTGACCTTTATTTGGGTTTTGTAACACCAGTCCTTTTAGCATCCTCTATTGGCATTCACAGAAAAAAAAACACTGCCCAGTATTGCAGCTGAGAGAAAGAACAATGGCTTTCCATTGTCAATAGTGTTACACTTTCATTGATCATATATACCTAGCCATTCTGACTCAGTTCACTGCATTCCAGATCGTGCAAGTATAAATCTACCGATGGGCAGCTGACACCATTCCTCATTGAAGTTTGAGTCATATATTTCTTTAATGGAAGACAGAAATACACTGAAACTTGATACTACAGTGATTCTTTACTACAACTGTGATCTGAAAAGCAAACTGCGTGCATATCCCACATTTTCGCTTATGTTGCACATTAGAGATTTATGTCTTAAAATGTGACTGGAGATAACTCAGTTTTTTTTCCAAGAGGCAAAGAATAAGAACAGTCCTTCTGGAAAAATAACGATAAAGATAAAGATAAAAAAGCAATAATGATATGACACATAAATTGCTTTGCCTTTATGTACTAAAGACTGTTCAAATGATAAGAGTAATGCCATGCATAATTGTTTTCTTATGTATATGACTGCATTCTGAAATCCTACATCTGTCTATTCTTCAACTATATTTGTTATTTATTAGCATATAGGTTTTTTTGTCCCATTGAGCTGTAAGGCATAAAAGGCAGTAATTGTATGTACTGCAAAGGGTGCCAACGTTAAATATTTCAGGTATTACATAATACCATGGTGCTAGGCTTTTGCAAAATGCATCTGTTCCAATCATGTACACTACTGAAAGGCAATGCAGAAAGCAATTGCGCCATTCTTGTAAAAAAGCAAATTGAGCCCTCAAACGTAAGCAGCAATTTCTTGAAAAAAAAATTAAACAAAATTATAACATCATTATAGGCACATGAACTAATATGCTGCACAATGTTCAGTAAATGATATATTCTCTGTATATGTTTATGTGTGTAGGTATGGATAGGATTGTTCCTCGTTGAATATCTTTTTATTGCTTTGATTGTCTCTCTTTGTTCCAGACACTATATTCGGATATCTACTACACCTGTACACATGTTGGAGCTGAAAGCAAATATGAGCTCAGAGATGTGTTCAGGTAGCACACTAATAAAAATTTGTACTTGAGCAGGCACATTTGTTTCACTACTCATGCTATTGAAAGATGGAAATATCATCCTTCCAAACATTTTAAGGGGGACTACAGGAAGGTTTGTACTTCTCTAACGAAGTACAGTAATCTCTCCACATTAACTGGAGGTAGGGGAGAAGGACCTCCACAATAGTGGGAAAACTGCAAATAAAAAACTGCTTTTTAAAATATATATATGAAAGAACACCTTTCTAGGAATCTCTAGGTCCTCCAGTGCAACTCTTTGATCAACTTCTGTAAGATCGCATGGGAGGTCCTACACATATCTAAATAAATATTTTCTCTAGAAATCCTCCAGCGTGACATCTGCCAGAAATTGACCAGAGTCACGCTGGAAAACCTAGAGATAACATATAGCAAATTAATAATCAAATCTGTAAAAGTCAAAGCTGCAAATGTGGAGGTCAAGCTGTATGAACTGGGGGAGGACAAAGGTTGCACTACTTGTTTATTTCCACAAAAAGGCAGCGCCTAGAAAAGTTACATTTTGGATTACAACTCCGAGAATCAATTTCAGGGTTTTGAGAGTTTAGTTCAAAATTAATGTCTAAGGCACAATCAACAGACTGTTCTTATGAAAGTTTTTTTTGCTCCTCAGTGATTATTTTGCAGGATCTTCATTAGGAACGTATGCTAGAACAATTATTTAGGGCTATCACTTGAGGCATAGATCACTCCTCTAAAGATTATCGTGTCTCTCTCCACCTTTGTCTAAATTCTGATTGCAACTTAAGATGTTCTAACAGGCTGCGCTAGTTGTTTATTTCCACCAACAAAGGCAGAAAAGGACAAATTTCTGCTATGTCCAATACCAGTGAGAGCTTTATTTTCATTTAGATCAAGTGGTCCTCGACCTGTGGGTCCTCAGGTGTTTTGGCCTACAACTCTCAGAAATCCCAACCAGTTTAGCAGCTGTAAGGATTTCTGGGAGTTGAAGGCCAAAATATCTGGGGACCCCCAGGTTGAGAACCATTGATTTAGATTAATGTGGGGAAGCAGATTACACATAGTTAACAGTAAGTGCACTCTCTGAATTTTGATAGAAACCTGAGCCATGGGATAGGTTCGATACAACAACCGATCCACAAATCTCCACTATGGGAGAGTATGATAGTTACTGATAGATGGTTGGCTGCCCAAGTCTTGTAAATCAGAACAAGATATCAGAATTCTGTTGCATATTATAATTCGACTTTGACAGAAATGAACTGTCATCTTCTCCCCTGCAATAAAAAAGAGTTATATTCAAGCCTACAATAACCAAGCAGTATAATGGTAATAACCCGTACTGCCAAAGCCCTTCTTGCTAAGGGATTACCCAAAGCACAGACATAAACAATTATCCAGGTATAATTATATAACAAAATACATTGGCACACAAGGCCTCATCTTAGTACAGAAAAACATTGCTAGTACAGAATATCTTTTTTTAAAGATAGAAGGCAATTTAGGATAACATTCTTTATAAGTCATGTAGGGACGCCAGCTGTCTGTAGTATATCCTTTCCTGCTACAGCTCTGTCTTGTCTGGTTGAGCAGAAATAGAGCTAGTGCTTCCTTCAGCAGCAAGGTTATTGTCTGTAGGCTCAAAAGACAATGAAGCTGAATTTATGCAATATCGTTTGCCCGTTGGACGAGGCCCGTCATCAAAAATATGTCCAAGGTGAGCACCACACTGAAATAAAAAAAAGCAAACATTGTATTTATTTATCATTTATGAAAACAACAAAAGTTGGAGGAACATTGGTGACTTTTTATTCGATTTTTCTTTATGCCTCTCAATTTTGCCACAGCTGCACAGTTGCAGCATTATCAAAAGACCTTCATCCACTTCACAATTACCAGGACAGCAGCAAAAGGAAATTATTGCACAAAGAGGACGGAAGAACAATAGTAATATTAGATTAATTTATAGTTTTTTACAATCAATAAAAATAATCTCCTGCATCCATAGAAAAATCCTGCAGGGCCTTTGGACATCAGTAGCAAAAGATAATTGTATTCCCTGTAGTAACCTATGGATTCAAGAGCTGGACCATAAGGAAGGCTGAGCGAAGGAAGATAGACGCCTTTGAATTGTGGTGTTGAAGGAAAATGCTGAGAGTGCCTTGGACTGCAAGAAGATCAAAGCAATCCATACTTCAGGAAATAAAGCCTGACTGCTCACTGGAGGGAAGGTTATTAGAGGCAAAGATGAAGTATGTTGGCTACATAATGAGAAGACGGGAAAGCTTGGAGAAGAGAATGATGCTGGGAAAAATGTAAGGAAAAGGGAAGAGGGGATGACAAAGGGCAAGATGGATGGATGTTATCCTTGAAGTGATTGGCTTGACCTTGAAGGAGCTGGGGGTGGCAACGGCTGACAGGGAGCTCTGGTGTGGATTGGTCCATGAGGTCACGAACAGTCAGAAGTGACTGAACGAATAACAATAACAAGCAAAAGACAATTGTGAGCCTAATTCAAAATACTGATAATACAGCAAAATTGTTGATAACTGGCACTGGAATTACATAAAAAAAATCTTCATGTGTGTTTGCGTGGAATTCCAGAAATTCCCTATTCTGTATTGGGAACAAGAAGCTTGTAAGTAAACTATCTGTACAGCATTTTGTTGTAGAAATTAAGAGTTGAAAAAGTTATTCTGATATCCAGGGGTAAAACAATGGGTCGTAGAAAAGTTGAGTTTTTCTTTAAAAATACCGTAAAACTGTCTCCTTGGTGTCAGCCTTATTAATTCTAATAAAGCTTGATCTAAATGTTTTAGATCCTTCACAACTTTGTATTCCCTACATTTCTAGACAATGCAGAATTTTGGAAATTTGACCATATCCAATTTACACAGACTAGACAAAAAAGTGAATGTTAAAGCTACGGAGGGGGCAATGTTGGCATAGTGAATCCTGTATTTTCTCAGCAGTGAATCATGAAGATACAGAAGGGTGTTTTTTAAAGTTATGCTATGCTCATGAGAGTTGATGTCAGGAGACTGTAAAGATGATTCAGTAGACTCATATATTATTTCCCCCTGTATGCAGAGCCCCAGAGCTGAATCATATGCAAGAATTCTAGGTTTTGGGAGAGGTATTTAGAATTCCTTGCCAAAGTGCTCGAACGCCTCACCAAACAAAAGTCATCCCTTATCCAGAGTTCCAAAATTGTCCACATGGTTGGCTGAGTTAGTGATAAATTTACTTTTTAATGGTTCAATGTACTCAAACTTTGTTTCAGGCACAAATACCGTAGTATTAAAATATTTTATAAAATTACCACCAGGCTATATGTATAAGGTGTACGTGAAACAAATTAATTTCATGTTTAGATGTTGGTCCCTTTTCCGCGATATCTCATTATGTACATGTATGCAAATACAGATATTCCAAAATCACGAAGAAAGCAATTCCCTAATCCAAAACACTTCTTATCTCAAGTCTTTGAGATAAGAAATATTCAACCTGTATAAACCTGAAGGACACAAAAGACAATGGATTCCCACAACCACAAAAAGCACAAATCCACTACAAGTTGTGGTACACAAAACACAAAGGTAAAAATATTCTTTAAGCTAATATAATGCAATATTGAACAAATAACAATTGTATATAGTGTGGCATACAGCAGTATATAATGAATTACAAACTGTGGTTTACACATTGATTATACAACCATAGCAAAAAGAGTCTTTCTTGGTGTAAAGCCAACTTCTCTATAGGGCATGAAGTCTCTTACTCTAGAGAAGGATACTCTTGAGTGAGGTTTTCAGTTTCTTGTAAGAAGATACCCACACTTCTCTTGAGGGCATAAAATCCCTTACTTTAGAGTTACTCTTGAGTAAGTTTTGAGTTTCTTGTACAAAGATATCCACAACCGGTTTCGACTAAAGTCTTCCTCAGGTGGAGAATTGTAGAGAGTAATGAAGTGGACATCAAGTTCATCACAATAACAATGCTTCCTCAGATGAAATAGTGGATCTACAGGGAATATACACAAGTGGACACAGCCATGGCTGCTAGAAGTGGATTCACACTTCAATAATGTTCAATGCAAAAGGATCCCAGAAGATTAGACCTTGGCCTAACTCAGATGTGAGAACTTTATGGCCCCACAGCTGTAGTTGAACTGCAACTCCCAACATTCATCACCATTAGCTACATTTGCTGGGACCTGTAGTTCAACAAAATCAGGAAGGCCTCACAATTCTCACCTCTGGACTAAATCCTGTTGCTGATCCCAATTAGATTAGACTCATTGAAACAAGGGCTTTTAATTCAGGGTTGATTTATTATTTAGCTATTAATTCAATGCCTATGTTTAGACTATCAACTAGATTTAGGACAGGATGGAAAGGTTGTAGCCATCCAGATGTTATTGGACTTCAAGTAGCAGTTTCTCTCTCTCTCTCTCTTGATCATGCTAGCAGAGGCTCATAGTTCAAAAACATCTGGAAGTCCACACAATTGCAATCTCTGATTTAGGCAACTAACAGGCAGTGATTATCACCTGCAGCAAGTAGAAGTAATAGGAGTCATAGCATATCACTGCTGAATTCAAGTAGCACCCAAAGGATTGAGCAGATTTGTAGAAATTTCAGCACAGAATAAAGTACATTTCACTTGATGCTGAACTAACAACTCCATCCCCATTTGCTATACCATGATAAAGCTAAAAGATGGTCTAGCAAATGGGGCTATACCATTTCTGCATATGAGTTCTGAGCTCATATTCAGAAACTTGAGTTCAGACTGCATATTTCACAAGCTCTGAACTCAGTTTACCATGTGCCAGTTTAGTCTTGTGCATTAGCTGAATGACCACAATACACAGACTTCACCGTTCTTGAGTTCCTACCTATAATTAAACTAAAGCCATTGCTATGACTTGAAGAAAGCTCAAGGCAAATAGTGACCAGTAACTTGGGATGCACTGATGTTGTAGAATTAATGCAGTTTGACACCACTCTAAATGTCATTGTTCAATGTTGTGGAATCATGGTTACTATACTTTTATAAGCTCTTTAGCTTTTCCTGCCAAAGAATGTTGGTGCCCTACCAACTACAAATTTCAGTGTTACCCAAACTTTGGTCCTTTAGATTTTTTTCAGTTCTCAGAAGCCCCAGCCAGCTTGGCCAGAAATCAGGAAGTCCAAAAGATTTGAAGGACCAAGTTTAGGAACCATTACTTTACATCAGGCTGTAGGCTGTTAGGAATTGTGGGAGTTGAAGTCCAAAACACCCGGAGGGTTGAAGTTTGCCCATGCCTGGTATTGATGTACCCTTAGGTCATGGTCCATCAATATGCAACATATTGTTTTTGTATGATTACACAATGTTTTTGGCTCCTATGGGTATATAATAAAAACCACAGTTAACCTGCTAGGGAAAGAAGCCTCAAACAGGAAAGGAAAAAATGAGACGGAATGTGCAACCAATTTAATGTTATTCCTTAAATGTACTTCAAATTAACAAATCACAAATATCTGACATTGCACATACTTGCACTGTGATGTAGTTGCAATAAAACTATGAAAGCTGTTTTGCAGATGATATCTATGATTTTTTTGTTTTTTACAGTAAGGTAATTTTCTTCTCAGGCACTTATGTGTTCCATAAACCAATGGCATTTCAAAGAGAGGACTGCATTTGAACAAAACAGATGCTAGAGTGATTTTATGGAAAGACTGCTTAATTTTTCACCTGCTGCATGTTTTTTTTAAAAAATGGAAGAAGAGGATCGTGTTCTCTGTTTAACAAAGAAAAACTGGTGCTGCAATTCCTGTCAGTAATGAAACTATTGTATTTTTGCAGCTGGCTACATGATCCCTGTTGTTAGATCTATGGAGACAGGAGGAAATGACTGCATGATGAATGTATTCTGTGGCGTGTTAGCACCTTGCCACAGGAGGACACAGAAAGCACATATATTGGTGCAGTCTCATCAAAATCAATAGTCTACACAACTGGAAGACGTTTCTAAATTGCAGCCTGTAAAATATGTAGTTGTGTGTGTGTCCAGGATCATATACTATTGTTGAACATCATTACTGCCATAAGCTGGACAGCATAAAAACACTGCGAGCAAGAAAACCTGTGATTCTACCAGTTAGATAATATTAAGACTGTTTTATATCATTGTCTACAGTGCTGCATGCTTTTCATAGAAAAGAATGGTCTAAATTCAAGTGCTACTCAAACACGAGTAAATCTGTTGAATCAATTGTTGATTTTCAAGTCAATGAATTTAAATCTACGGGTGTACAGGAGGACCTTGGTGTCCCCTGGATTTAGTTCTATGACCCTCAATAGATACCAAAATCTATGGGTGCTCAAGTCCCATTATGTTGTTTATTCGTTCAGTCGCTTCCAACTCTTTGTGACCTCATGGACCAGCCCACACCAGAGCCCCCTGTTGGCCCTGGCCACCCCCAACTCCTTCAAAGTCAAGCAAGTCACTTCAAGAATACCATCCATCCATCTTGCCCTTGGTCTGCCCATCTTCCTTTTTCCTTCCTTTTCCCTCCCCTTTTATATAACGGCATTGTAAAATTGTGTCCTTTATGTAAAATGTCAAAATTAAAGTTTGCTTATTTGGATTTTTTCCCCAAATACTTTTGAGCTGTGGTTGCTTGAATGCAGAACCTGTGAATAAGGAAGGTCGACTGTATTCTAAGTGGGAGCAGTAATTGGTTTTAGGATCTCTTTTTTGTAAAATACAGAATTTTTGGTTGTGAAACTGGCTGATATTTTGCTATGCTGTATTATGCTAAGACAATTAGAAGAAGTCTGAAGCTTACAACAACTTCTCCAAATAGGGCAAATATGCTTTAAGAATGTGTTGTTTATTTATTATTTATTTACTGTATTAATATACCGCCTTTCTCACCCCTGGGGGGACTCAGGGTGGTTTACAACATACTAATGGGGAAAAAATCAGTGCCAACATACAATACACAAAGAAATCATAATACTTACTACATATAACTATGAACTTAAAATCAGTTAAAACCATTAAACATAATTTATTAATTTAGTTCTCGGAATTTTAAAATATATACAAACAATGTTTATATTGCCCCATTATATTTTATTTTAAATTCTCAGTACAAACTACAACACCTTGTTCTTACCTTGTTCTTCTTTTCTCTTTTCTGTCTTTTATTTTTAAGTGTTACAGTACATCAATAAAATAACACTTTATTTCTGTCATTCTCAAATCAATCACAAAATTTGTCCCTGATTTATCAAAAAAAAAAAAAACCAAAAAAAAAACCCTCCTTGGAAAAGCCTAGTGCAGAGCCAAGAAACAGATTATACAAACAATTCACAAAGAACACAATGAGTGGATGGCAAAGTGACAACAACTGGCAAACTCTAGCAAAACTCAAAAAGCTATACAGGCAGTCCCCAAGTTACAAACATCCGACTTACAAATGACTCATAGTTAAGAACAGGGGTGAGACAACAGGAAGTGAGTTAAATCTACCCCTAGGATAGGAAATTCACTCCTGAAATAGTTGTCATGGGAAAGAGGTGTCTCCACTGAAACTGTGTCTTATCTGTCTGTAACACACTGTTCCTTTCCCCCTACTGCCTTACCAAGCCTTATTGTCTTTTCTAGTGAGTCATGTCTTCTCATGATATGGCCAAATTGGAAAAAGGTCTTCATCTACACTCACCATCCCTCAAAGAGAGGACACTTTAAAAACATCCAAACGACAGAATACTCTCTTTTTGTCTGGTATTATTTATTTATTTATTTATACCCTGCCCTTCTCCCCCCATGGGGGGACTCAGGGCGGCTTCACAAATACACCATACGGTGTCATCATAATAAAACAATCACCAATACATTAAACTATAAAAATATTAACAGCAATTAAAACAATTTGTACAATTTGTGATATTTCGTAATCTCCAGCAACACTTCTCCTGTCTTCTTGGATGATTCCATGGATGTTTGAGATCCTTCAATAGTTTAACATCCTTTTTCATCTGTTGTTCCGCTGCTTTTATTTTTAAATTTGTGTATTATCATTACTAAATTGTAAACTGCCTTAAGACCATCTAACATGAAAAGAATTATCATAAATTAAAGAAACAAAAAGCTAATGATATCTAGATTGGTTCTCCCAATCTGTTCAACTAGAAAGATTAACTGAAAAAGACTACACAGTTTATAACATAATCCCACACACATACAAATAGGGAGCACACCAGTCTGTTCAGAGTTCCTTTATCTCCATTCTGTGCCAGATTCTCAGCCACATACACTGGTCTAAAACAAAAACCCAAAGAGCAGGCTTGGGTTTTGATAAAAAAAAAACAAAACTGGTGCATCCCCAACGGATGAAACTGGCGGCAAATTACTCAGGCATTTCCACTAACTGACAGGTCAACAACCCATCTTCCGTGATAAGTGAGGACTGAGCCATTAATGCCACAGAAGGCTGGTGATGACAATAGATGAAAGGAATGAGACAGATAACGAAAAACTGACAATGTCTGGTATGATTATTCACTTGGTTATTTTGGCAGATGGGACTCAGAGATGACCAAACAGATAGCCTGGGAATAGCTACCACACTTTTGTCAGTATTGCTCCTTGGCAATGCATAGCGATAGAATCAGTACACATGTAGTCAGTCCAATGTTCCCAACATCCATCTAAACTATTTGCATTTAGACTTAAGAGAGCAGAGTTCAGAGGTGAACCCTGAAAAGATGCCATCACGGAAGACAATTTCTGAGCCTCTGATTCCAGCCATTTATGTATGCTCTGTTAAATAATGCTTGCCACAGAGAACAACACAGATTCTCATTAGCACTTTGACTTTAGCTTATACCCACCAGCTGTCATGCCTGTGACCCAACACGCAACCCTAATTAGTGCATCTAGTAACGAAAGGTTTGTAAATCCTTAGATGTGGAGAGAAAAACTGTGGCCACTGCTACAATTTCTGTAACCTTTAACATTAGAATGGCCTTTTTGTCTCTAAACTGACCTGACTGCAGCTTGTCTCAACCCTGTGCATCCCGAAAGAGTAGTCATCAGTGAATGTAATTTTGTCAGAGGCAATAACATCATAGAAGGAGGGCCAACCTGAAAAAGAAAAGAAATTAACCTGTGAGTGCTTTTTGTCTGTCTCAGACAGGACTCCGAAAACCGGAATTGCAAATGGGTCTGTCAGAGATCTAACATGCTTTGGTTGATAACTTTTCTTGGATTTGCAAGGCAAAGAAGTATGCTTTCAAACTATAAAAATATTTTTCTTTCCTGCTTAAAAAAATAATAATAGAGTCCTATGTAACCTGAAAGTGTAAAGACCTACACCAGCATACTAACACGTTTCACCTAACAGAATCATTTCTGAATTTAATCAGTCTTGAAAAACTCTGAACATAAAAGAAGTGAAAGGGTTCCCAGAAAAATGATGTCTTACCATGGAATAAATTAAGGCATTTTAACATTAAGCAGGCCCAAACAGAGCACGATTTGCCTGCCCACAGATTTCATCTCTCTATGTTTGTGAGTGTAGACCCCCATTCCCAAGTTGGCTTCCAGTTGAAAATTGCACTATATACAGAAAAGAAAATGGGAAAGCAGCGGGCAGGAAAGATGCATCATTCTGACATTTTGCTTCTTGTGTGGAAATATCTAAGTCCAGCACGATCCCAGAAAAAGCCAATTAGAAACTTTAGCCCTTCTCTGCTAACAGAGGTGATAGTACACCAAGGTTCTTCTGTTAAATCTCCAAACAGAAACACTTTCTATAGACCTCACAACATTGGCCAGAATCTGGAATTTGCCTCCTGCAGTCTCCTGTGCACCCAAAGAGCCCAGTGCTGGAAAACCCTCTGGAGCAAGGTTTATGCACCAGGAGGGAGAAAAATATTATTAATACTATATAATAATAATAATAATAATAATAATAATAATAATAATAATAATAATATAATTTCATTTCTTACCCGCCTCTCCTTGTGGCTTGAGGGAGGTTACAACATAGCTAAAACACATAATCATTATATATAAAAAACAGTAGAGTCTTGCTTATCCAACATAAACGGCCGGCAGAACATTGGATAAGCAAAAATGTTGGATAATAAGGAGGGATTAAGAAAAAATCTATTAAATGTCAAATTACATTATGATTTTACAAATAAAGCACCAAAACACCATATTTCACAAAAAATTGACAGAAAAGGCAATTCAATACATGGTAATGTTATGTAGTAATTACTGTATTTACGAATTTAGCACCAAAACATTGCAATGTATTGAAACAGCTGTGGGTCCGGGTGGGAGGCAGACCGCATTGGATAATACAGAATGTTGGATGAGTGAAGGTTGGATAAGTGAGACTCTACTGTACATATTTTAAAACATATTTCTAAAAAATGCATATATTACAATATATAGAACAATGATTAAATTATAACAGACACAAAACACGAGCTGAAAATTCATGATTAAAACTGGCTAGGAAGGCCTGCCAGAAGAGATAGGTCTCCAGATGTATTTTAAATTCCAACAGCTCATTCAGCTGTTGGAAGTTTTCCAGCAGGTCGTTCCACGGTCTTGGAGTGGCCAATGAAAAGGTCCTCTGGGTGTCAGTTGGGTTCTGACAGGCTGGAGCAGACACATTCCTGATTGCATTTGATCAGATAGGGAAGTACACTATTTGGGGGGGGACGGGACATGATGCTCCTGTTTGTGAACAACTACCTAGTGGGTTGATAATAATGTAGTCTGTGCTCATTCAGAGGAAGACATACAAGCCACTTTAAAAACCTTTGCAGAAGAGAAGCTTGGCCTCTCAGTGAACATCAAGAAAACCAAAGTGCCCTACCAGCAGGCAACAACCAATCCCTCTGCAATGCCAGAAATAAAGTTTAGTAGTGTAGCACTAGGAAATATTGACAATTTCTGCTACCAAGGCAGACACCTTTCCACAAAAGTTGACATCAGTGCCGAAATACAATAATGCCTGAGCTCTGCAAGAGCAGCATTTTCTTAAATGAAACAGAGAGTGTTTGAGGATCGGGACATTCATAGGGATATCAAGATGCACCAAGAAGACACTTCAGCTCCAGGATTACCTGCATTCTACTTTCTCTCTTTCCAATAGCTTATAAAGCTATTGTCCTTCCAATTCTATTGCACGCTTATGAAACATTGACCATCTACAAATGTTATTCTCAACATCTGGAAAAATTCCATCAGTATTTCTTCTGAAAAGTCTTGCAAATCTTTTGGGTAGAAAAACATCAGCATTCTGGAAAAAGCAAAGACTGCCAGAATTGAGACAATGGTCCTCTGCCATCAACTTTACTAGACTGGACACATTGTTTGAATGTCCAATCACTGTCTCCCAAAACAGTTACTTTACTCTCAGATCACGAACAGAAAACAAAATGTCGGCGGACAGCAAAAGAGATTTAAAGATGGGATTGAAGCTAACCTTAAAAACTGTAGCATAGACACTGAGAACTGGGAAGCCCTGGCCCTCAACTATCCTAACTGGAGACCAGCTGCTACCAACAGTGCTATGAATTTTTAAAAGGCACAAATAGAGGGTGAAAGGGAGAAATATGCCAAGAAGAAAGTGCGTCAAGCAAACCTTTGTTGGGACTGTCCTCATTGTGAAAGACCATGTGGATCCAAAATAGTCACTTATGGACCCACCAGCAAGACTCTACCCTTGGAAGACAATCACACTTGGCCACGAGTGATCACCTGTTATGAGTTCTCTTTCTAAATTCATAGTATTTCAAAACCGTTCTAAACATTGTGTGATTGCCTGCTAGTTGGACATCCCCAGTTTCCTTACGAATGCTTCAAGCCCCTATTAAAAGTGGCATTTTTTCTTTATTTGCAAAGCAATTTTTTCTTTATTTACGAAGCCATTCAAGATAGACTGACTTGTAACTTTATCTGTGACTGTATCAGATTTCTCAGTAAGGCTATTTATGCGAGGGGGGGAAAGCCACAATGAAAAATAGTGACGTAATTTCAAAATGGCATGTGTTTATAAAGAAAATGCCTTAGTTTCCATCAAAACACAGATCTACATAATTCAGTATCCTACTTTCCATGGTTTAGTGATTTATTCAGTTAGTGTAATGCTTGAGCTCAAGGCAGCATACCCATGAATTCCTGTCCAAGGATACTTAATCTGCAGTGTATTCTGCAAGGAAGGTCAGGTTAAGAGAAAAATGTCTAGTCCAAGGTCAAACAGTTAGGTTCACGGGTTGCTGTGAGTTTTCCGAGTTGTATGGCCATGTTCCAAAAGCATTCTGGCCTGTATGGCCATGTTGCTTCTGGAACATGCCCAAACAGCCCACAAAACTTACAACAAATCAGTGATTCTGGCCATAAAAGCCTTCGACAATACAGTTAGTTTCATGTCTTAGTGGGGATTGGAACCCTGATCTCCCAAAACCTTGTCCAATACTCTGACCAAGTGCCTACAGGAAGTTCACAGGACAAACATGTAGAGATTGTGCCTGCTGCTGTCTCTCAACAACAGCTTGGTATTTAGGCTCCTGCAACTTCTTGGTGGTGCAATTGCAATATTTCCAGTATATCCCACCATATGCAAATGAAGAGAAGCAAAGCTGGTACTGCTATTGTTCATGGAAGGTTTTGAGACTATAGCATCCTGCCATTCACTCATCCATTAAATTCATGTCCTCCGTAAAGCTGACAAGTAGCAAAGCAAACAACAAGGGAAACAAAGAGGAAGAAAACAGCATAGAAGAGTAGACAGCATCTATACAAGCCATGGAGGTCATTGACCTGCTAGATATGTTGACCTCTTCTCCTGCCCAATTATTAAGGTCATTTTTAAAGCTTCTTTCCTGGATGCTGCTGCCCGCAATGGTGTGATGGGAGGTTATCAGTTAAAAAAACATTCTCGGCAGTTTGTCCCRTCCTCCAATCTATYGGATGCCTTTCAAGAAAGGTTTCCCTGGGATCTTCATTTAGTAGAATTTAGAAGCCAGGCTAAAACCTTRCCCCTATCAACAGGCATTCAGTTCTTGATTATTTTTTACCTTTGATTTTACAATCTACCTGTATATACTCGAGTGCAAGCCAACCCGAATATAAGCCAAGGCACCTAATTATACCACCAACCCCCCCCCCCCCAAAAAAAACCTGGAGAAACATATTGACTCGAGTATAAGCCAATGGTGGGAAATGCAAAATAAATTTCAAAATAAAAATAGATACCAATAAAATTACATTAATTGAGGCATCAGTAAATGTTTTTGAATATTTACATAAAACTGCAATTTAAGATAAGACTGTCCAACTCTAATTAAACCATTATTCTAACCTTCTTTGATGTAAATGTGCTTACGTATCCTTCCAATAACAATAAAGAGAGTAAAATAATAAATGTAATAAAAACAATAATAATAGAGTAAAATACTGTAATGGAAAAGCAATAGTAACAGTAATAATAGAGTAAAATAATAAATGTAATAATAATAAATACAGTAAAATAATGTAAATGTAATAAAAATAATAGAGTAAAATAATTTAAATGTAATAAGAACAATAATAGAGTAATATAATAAATGTAATAATAATAATAGCAGAGTAAAATAATGCACATGTAGTAATAATAATACTAAATAGAGTAAAATAATAAATGTAATAATAATAATAATAATAATAACAACAACAGAATAAAATAATAAATAACTTTGACTTGAGTATAAGGGGGTGAGTAAGATTCAGCCTTTAAAAAAGGCTGAAAAACTCGGCTTATACTGAAGTATATATGGTAGGTTTTATTAAATCGGGTCTTAACATTCTATTTTACATATTTTAATGTTTCACCTTCTCTGGTTAGATGGTAAAATAAGTTATTTCACTGATTTAAAAAACATACTAAACTGCTAATTTCTACTTGAGCAATATATAGATATTTTAGGCAGACAGACAGATGAATAACATATAAACATAGGAAAAAGGACAGGAAGAGATGAGAAGATCAAAATATTCTGAGATACTGGTAATGAAGGAAGGTGTAACATAGGATTGAAAACAATCTCACTTGACCATGGAAACCTACTGGGTGAACATGGGCA